CCACCATGTTCCTATAGTCTATGAAGGCTAGACATGGAGGGGGACACCGACACTGAACGCCGAACAATCCCTTGAGGATGAAAATATAACAACATTGATTGCATGTACGGGGAGACTTTTTACAGCCGCCACACGGCACAAACAACAAGGTTGTGAGCATAAAATCCATATGACCCAGCAACAAGAACCAATGGCAAGCAGCCCAGGCGGACCCCAAACAAAAACAGGACAGGGCAAAGACAGAGCACGGACAGGTTAATCATTATAAGTCTCTTTTGTAAAACATTTTTATAAACATATCTAATATATTTTAGACAAACAAGATTCATTTGGTTATCATCAATTTTGATCAAATTTTTTTCTAGACGAATAATTGCCGTACTTGACTATGGGTAAACAAACAATTATCAAAAGTCTTTATAATTTTACCTGTTACTCGTAGTTCATTAAAAAATTTAAATGAATGCTATAATAGGACTAAAACGTATCATTTTAGAGTCAATGCATAAAAATTTGACACTTCAATGCGTAGATAATACCCTATCAGGAAGTGTAAGACATTACATAAATGTGTTCCTTCATTATTAAGGTTTTTTCAATAATATAATATTCACGATGACGTCAGTTGTCCGAAAAAAGTATAGTTTTTTTGTTTTTTTTATCGGACCACTAAAATTTAATAAAAATAATGTTATCTTTATTTAGAGAAGGTACCACATTATGGATATACAACTGGATTCAAGTATATTATATAATATTCCAATGTGGCCTTCTTAATTGAATAAAACTAGAAATGTGTCCATAGGACACGGGTGGCCCCACACTCCACCGATTTGTCAATCTAATGTTTCTAGGTCAATTTTTTTTTTGCTACATGTGGCAAAGTTGAAACTAAAAACTTTTATTAAATAAAGGGCAAATACTACAAATACTGAATAAATCCACAAGAAAACCCCAAGGTGCATAAGTACACATGCTGACCAACATTCTTGTAAACTTTCAGGCCTACAGGTCATAAACTTTTTGAGTTACGTGCAACACAAGTTGAAAATTGGATTTTTTTACTAATTCAAGGGCAATAACTCTATAAATATATATTAATATATCCACATGAAAATACCCAGGTGCACAACTTCATAATGCTGATCAACATTCCTGTAAGGATTCATGACTCTAGCTCAATTACTTTTTGAGCTACGTGCGACACAAAAAGGGAACGGACAGACGGACGTTCTCACAGGACAGTAATTATGTGGCTACTTTATTGTTCTCTCTATTGTTCTTTTTAGCCACCCAAAATAAAATAGCCACATAAAAGCATTACGGAATGAATGACATCAAAGAGAACCTATTGTCCCTCTAGCCACATAATTACTCTCCTGTGAGTGCGGACGGACGGAAGGATGGACGGACGGACGGGCAAGGGTAAATCTAAATCCCCCACCCCCTACAGTGGGTGCACAAAAAAACAGAACATGCATATAGTGACAAAAATATAATGATAATTTATTACAATTTATTGATGTTTAACCAAAAAGAAGATTTTTTGCAAAACGCTCATTATACGAGCTGACTGTCAAAAGCTGTTAGCTAGTATATTTCAATAGAAAGATTTAAAAAAAATAATATCAATATGATTTCTTTCCTCGTTAAAGTTTTCCGGTATGTTCTTGTTAAATGTGGTATAATTTTACATGTAGATATACAAGTTGCGGAAGGAGTATACGGGTGAATATAGCATGAATGAAATGATGACCGAGTATTTATGTCAGGAAGACTATATTGGCCCGTATATCCCGTCAGTATAACGAAATTATAATAACGCTAAATGTTATTGACGAAAAAGTTCATAGTTTCAAAGTTTTCAAAGAAGCACGGGAAAACGATGCACGTAATTAACAGATATGCAAACGATGTAAGATGCTGCAAGAGATTATGTCAGAGGAGTAAAGAAATGTAAATTGATATCTGCTGTTATGAACATTAATCATTAATTATTCAGAATATCACCCGTTAGAAATAACAACAAAAATGTGGTTCAGACTTGGGTTTATTGTGCGTCTATCCACGTTCCCCTTGCTTTGGCTTTTTGTGGTATTTAATCTAAAAATATTTGCACGTTATTTAAACGAAAGAAAAAAAAACATAATTTAAAGAAGTGAAAAAAATCATGTACCCTGTCTAAATTGTTGTAAATAAAAGAGAAGAAGAAAAGTCATTTTTGTTTTAGATCTTGCTTGATTTATAAGAAGAAGAATAAGAAAATTTTATTTACCTTATTCCTTTAAATTTATACAAAACGTAGTTCGAAGATTGTCTTAAAAATATAATAAGATATAGAACAGTACATATCATTGGTGAAAATGAAATCCTTGTATTAACATTATAACAATTACGTAAATATACATGTATATTTTATACTTAGTATTCTAGACTCCAATATGTAATGAAACAAAAATTTATACAAAACATGTATCAGAATGATTTCTATTACATACCCTTTTCTATATGATGTTTTAATAATCAGTTTATTACCAATTATTCACTCGTTTATTTTTTCCAAGTAAAGATGTTTTAACCATTTCACTTGTTCTCGCGAAACATCTTTTTCAAAAATCACAGTTCAATGTGTATTTGTGATAAAGAAAATTGAAACTGTTACTTTATTTTTCATTTAAATAACATACAATTCATTTAATAAATTTAGGTTTTGACTAATTTGATATAATTATATAAAAAACTATTGTCTTCTTTGATTTCAATAACACGAGCAAAAGATGTACAGTTCAACACTTTGGGCTATTAAGGTTTGCTTCTCAAAGACATGAAATATTTATTTCCAATGTATGTCACTCTATTGCTAAAGGCGAATGAGAGCTCCCTCACTATGAAAGTCAATCATTCTGTCTTGACTTAACAAAATTATAGACGCCGGTTATAAAACGACGAAATTCAATCGATTTTGAAACTACAGGACGTTTTCTGTTAGTAACAATTCACGTTGTATTCTTTCCCCCCAGGATTTTTTGTTTCTATTCGAGAAAAGTTTAACATTGACCCTGTGCTAGAAACGAGATTGAGAAATAAATCGTGATAAAAAAAATAATTACTCGAAAGTATTAGTAATCTTCAAGGAGATCGAACACTAATTAAGACAAAGCATTGATATTCCTATCGTTTAAACAGTTTATTTGCTATAAGAACGTGATTTTTTTCCTCTGTGCGACAATATCATTAATAAATTGATTATGTTATTGATAAACTGATTCGCCCATTGAGATGATAAAATAGGGATTACACAAATTATTGCAATACCTTTTTTCTTCTTAAGATATTGTATTGATTTTGGTTCATTGAGAGCACGTCAATACTAATGACCGCCTTGCAATATACAAATTCAGTATAATATTTCTCTTTTTCTTCACCCAAACCTATAAATATTGGATATTATTGTCAGAAGTTTCTTTTAGACTTAAATGATGGTTAAGTTATGGGAAGAAAATACAAAAAAATAAAAAACTGTCATATATATACATGTATACTAAAACAAATGTATTATCATGTTTTTATTACATGTTTTATCGCTTGTTCGATATGGCCGGCAAAATGACTTTGAATAAGGCGCATGATTTACTGCGGAAGGAAACAATTTATTTTGTGAGTCGCTAGTAAAAAAAACATTCACATACTTTAGCTTTACACTTCATGTCAAGTTTTGAAATATCTGGCTTTGCTGCAAACATTTATAATTACATTTTCTTCAAATGGAAAGACAATGTCTGATTTCATGCAATAAAGACAGTTTACTTAGACGTAATACCTTTGAATCAGGCTTAAATAAAATAATTGCGTAAACGCTTTGTCTTAATCTAAATGTTGCATTGCATTGTCATTAAACATCTGATTTTTTAAATCTATATATTTGTTTAACTAGAAAACAAATTCGTTTTGAAAATAATTAAATATATTTATCTTTTAAAGTTTTGTATTTTTCTTTTAAGATGGTTGGTATAGTGCTGTGCGAACATTGTTCGGGCTTTCAAACCTTTAATAGCTGTCTTTTTTATGGTAAAGCGAGGTCACACGTGAGATTTTTATCTTGGTTAGATTTTGTTACGGGTCTGATGCTCTTAATGCCTTATAAATTATGTTTATGCTTAAATATAATTGTTGATCTGTTGCTTATTAAAAGTTTATATATTGTTTAATTGGGATATAATTCAATGATGACAAGCTAGTAATGGTTTACCGTCATGACTTGTAATTACAGAATTACAGCATATATATATAGATGTCAAATTGTGTCACATTCCTGGTACATTTATTGGTTAGCTTTCCTTTTACATAAGCGCCCCCGTCCTGTCACAGTATAAAACGAGTACAAGTAAAATAACTTTATTTTTCATTATCATCTACAAAATTAATGACGTTTGACAATGTGAAGCAACGGTATAAAATTAAAATAAAAACAAAACAAACATCAACACTTATTATTAACTTATTATGTTTTTTGTTCCAGTCATTTTAATCTAATCACTAAACAATCATGCTAAATAGGTTGTATTCATTTAAAGAAATTTTGCTTAACATAAAAAAGCCTTAATGGTACATATTAAAATTAGTTGTATTAGTAAACTAAAGAGAAGGAATCCTATTTCATTACAGATAGTTTATTATTATTTAGATTATTATAAGTTTATATTCTTGTTAGTGAATATTTGCTTTTATTTATGTGAATGTAATCAATGAAATAGATGTACATATCTGTAATATATATAAACCCGGCGTGCGTTAAAGAGACTTTATGCTCCAAGTCCTTTAAACACGCTCGTAATACTTATAAGCTGCCTATCTGCTCCTTGAGTAATGCCATTTGTAACCTCTAGACCACGTGACACCAAAAGTGGCTAAATGGAATTTCGTGAAGACAAATAAGTGTGCAACATACGTTACATAGGACAATTGTTCTTGTTAAATGAAAAGGAAGTTTATTTTGTTAATATACAAATACAAAGATTACAGAGTAAAGTTTGCTCTTTGTTGACATCTAAGGGAAATGATTAATTATTCAATACATAAATAATTACATTGGCTTTTTCAGTCGCCTATCAGTTTTCACTTTCACCACCTGCATCCTCGCATATCGATCTCATTTTTGTTGTCAGGCGAACATATATTTCATGTTTACTCGAAAATAATAAATTTTAATATCTTAAAGGGTATAAAGCTATATCTAATGTAAATTCTCGCTTTTTGAAAGAAATGTAAAAAAGAATGTCTCAATCATTTTAAGGAACATTCAAATTGAATTTCTAACAGAGATTAACAGGAACACTTAAAAGATAAAAAAATATGGAACAGATACTTAAGAAATATACTCAATAATAACTTGCGCTATTCTAAGCCGATTTGTGTACAACCCTTTTTAAATTTGGGTCATTTTTCACAATTAGTGCAATCATTTTAGAAAACTGAGTGAGCGAATGATCTGAAATTTTACACACAAGTTACTGGTCTAAATTAACATCAAATTGAACATTAATCTCGAAAAATTATATCCAGTCCCGTCTTGTGATAAAAAAAACTCAAAGGAGTCTCTTGCACATACATGAATATTATACTCTAATAGCATAAAATGTTCCGGAACCAGAGATTATGCTGCTATTTAAGGTAGGGTTTAACCGTTTTGTCACCATTTCGGACATGCGCCTTTCACTCCTAATTAAATAAACACACATATTCTTTTCATTCGTGTATCTATGTTTCTACATTATAAAATAAAAAGAAAAAAATCGTTGAACCATAAAAAGCCGAGGATATGCAAAACTTTACTTGATACTGATCATTAAGTTTAAAGATAAGGTTTCTGAGAAGAAGTCCGGACAAGCTTCTGTGTAGCCCACAACACACACACACACAAACACACAAAACTTTTTAGTTCAAGGGCCATAACTTGGCCAAAATCATTCAACCGCAAAACCCATTTTGTTTGTGTGTAATATGCGCAAGTAATTGAGCTACAGATCTATCCTGTAGCATAACGTTTATTCTAAATAAAATTACATAAAGTGATATTAAATGCACTCTTCTAACATTTCATTGAATTTTCTGCAATGCTGCAAGCCTCTAGATGAGCTAAATTATTTCATTAAACTTGAGAGGGATGTACTAATATTTTAAGAAAAGTAAAAACATGTACGATTAATGACTAATTTTACTATAAAATCATATTTCTACTGTGTGAGATTACGCAATTACAGGGAACAAAAAAGAGGAGCATACTTTTATACCACTGCGTTTTCACGCCGCGTCAACGATCATTTCGAACTTCACTTATCTAAAATCAAAGTATCATAAGTACAGCAAATTTTTGCTTTTGGAATACTGAAATTCTAAATCCAGATCAATGTTTTATTGTTTCAATTTGATGACAGTTCATTTAAGGCCCTATTTATTCTTGTTCAGGTTGAGCATCACTTAATTTTCTCTTTGCATATTTGATCTTGAAAAACCCTGTTAAGACTTTTCCAATCTGTAAAATCAGATCCTACATAACGCTGTGCCTTTACAAGTTCAAAAGTATTAGAAGAAGATCTTGTTTTCAGCTAAATTTGGTATTTTCTATCGTGAACATATTAGTTTTAATGAAGTTTCCGTGAACTTGTCAAGATGCGCGGAAAGAAGTTGGCTGAAATAAAACTAATCTACCTTAGCTCTGCATTGATCATACTCGTGCCGTCAGTTAAAAAAGATGTACAAGTACTTTCAACACATTTATTTCTGTGAATGGGTCATGTCATTTACGTATAATTACCTTACTGTATCGGTATAACGTAAAACGTATTCAAACAACCAAATTTATAATTACCCAATAACGTTGCCGATAACAGAAGTTAGCCATCTGTTACTTTTGATGTCGTGTTAGAATCACTGTTTGTCGTTCGGATGCGCATCATTATATCACTCGGGCTACGCCCTCGTGATATAATTCGTCGTATCCGAACTCAAAACAGTGATATTATTGAGCGATAAAATCACTGTTTGGGATATATTATTTCTTAAATAACTGTGCCGATAACAGAAATTAGACATCTGTTACTTTTAAATGGAATAATATATGTGATTTCTTTTAATTAAGTTATACATTTGAAAGAAAACCAAGTCACTCTAATGCTTCTCTTGAATGAAATGCAGGTGGTATATCCGGATAGTTTTCATAACCAAAAAGTTCAAAATCTACAGCATAAAGTTTTTGAAGTTTTAGAATATCCCCTCTAGGCACTGTGCTCCAAAATTTCCTGTACATTTCGTCTTTAATTTGTTTACGCATGATTGATGATGACATATGTCTTGATAAATGTGCACGCTTTATCATGTCATTAAGTCTCGTGGTCGTTTCATTTATTTGTCTCACGTCCAGTGTGTCGTTTCCGATCAGACCTCTTATCTGTAACTTCTTCCACGCACGCAGTAACGCATCTTTGAACGAAACACACGATTTATACTTAGTATGAAATGAAAATGGCTGATTCAATGTATCTTTAATTGCATCATCAACTGCTGCATCTTTTCCACTGGTATTAAGGAATAAAACCATCTTTGTTAGTCCAAGTTTAGTAAGAATCTGAGTAGAATCTTCTTGAAATTCTTCCATTTTACCGACAAAGTTATACTTAATTTCACACGGATGACAATTTTTGTTCATTTCAACCCAGTGTGGATCAATATTTCTTCTTGTTTCTAGGGTGTATATAACATACTTTATAAATTCTGAGAATGATATATCATGGCCACAAACAGATCTAAAATTTTCCATTTTAATTCCTCTAGTTAGGATAGCGACCTTCACCCCGACACTTTTCCAGAAATAAGGATTCGGTGCAAGCATTTTATCAACAAAGAAAGAGAATAATCTGTTAAAAGGATCACGAGTAAATAATACTTTGTAAACTCCTTGAGTTGCATTTTCCCTCCAAATCAATTTTGTTGAAGGATATTCTCTGTCAAATGGTAGGTCATATGGATTGACAAGTTTCGAATATTTTCTTTCCCTCTCTATCATAAGAACACGTCTCCAAAACGTGGTGCCGACTTTATATATAGGACAAAACAGTAAAGATTTATTTCTGTTAAATCTTACAGTGATAGGAAATTCTTTATCTTTGAAATTCTGATATTTTTTACAAACTTCAATGGTCCGTGCTGCATTTCTCTCCCCATTCGTTTTATACTTCCTCTGAAATGATTACAATAGAACATAAATACACTTGTTAGCCAAGTACCAATAACATTGAAAACAATCGCCAATTTCATAGAAGAAATTTATTGAACAAAATCGAATATTACACTTTCAGTTATTTTCCTCGAATATATTTGAATTAAGGCAAGGAATTATAAAGTATTTGCTACTTAAAAACTATTGTACATTAATGATATGCTCACAGACTCAGTTGTAGTAGAAGTTGTAGTTGTCGTTGTTGTTGACGACGGTGCTATTGTGTCCTGGTATGAGGAAACTGTTAAATTTAGAACCATTCTGTCATAAACTAGTGCACTTGCATTTCTTCTGATAGGATCATACCTTGATTTACCATCCCTTAATATATCCGCATTTTTTGCCATGCCTTCACTTATATACGTCATTATTTGCTCTGAAATATATCAACTTTTTCATATGCGTTTACTGAGCAGAGTCAAACTGCCTTATAAAATACGATTTAAAAAGCTGTAAAATGTTTTGATATCTATGTACTTTGTCTACATGTTCTTATAGTTCATGCAAGAACATCAGGAGCATGAGATACATTTGATTTTTTATTATCATTCATCAGCAACTCGATTAGATGCAATCCTTAAAGAACGCTCCAAAGGGCACAATTGAAAATGGTACAGACTTGGTTTAATTGAGCAAACTACCTTTCACGCCCTCTATAACAGTCTAAAGCAGTATTTAACATGAAAGTGGTATCATTTGGGATTAAGAAACAGTCCAAGATGTATTTATACAGCGGAAATCATTGATCCTTCAATATCACCCGTTTGTGTCATTCTCTGAAAAGCGACGTAAGGTCCTTTAGTCTGCAGTTTTAACCCAGCAGGCACACGACGTTGTTTCAACGTTGAAACAACGTTGAAATATGGTCGTGACGTTGTTCAACCAATATTCAACTATGGACGATCATACGGATATATAGCCAATGTATATTCAACGTTGATTCAACGTTGTTTATGGTCGAAGTTTTACATTTAGTTTGATCATTATATAAACTTTCATACCACTAATTTTGTGTTATTATTCCTTTATTGAATAAGTCTGTAAGTGATTTTTGTCAGGAAAATTTGCGTTACAATCTTTTTCCGTATATTCAAAATAAGCGCTGAAACAAATAAAGTTGAAAATAATTTTTCACTTTCTATTAACGCTTTAAATATTAATTAATACCTTTTATTGTTTGTTGTTTTATTTTTTAGTTCTTTATGAGAGATGAAAACACATGATTGAGTTGATTTGACACGTTTTCGCGACCTAATTGAAAGATTTGGGTTCTGTAGGCTTCGTAAGCATGAAGTTATTGATGTCCTTGGCATTTTATGATTTTACAAATCTTGTCTTTCTTTAATTTATTTTTCATATTATTAAACAATTGTCTGTACTATATCCTAATAAGAATTTAATCATTTATAAAATTGAAACCTATAAAGTAGTTCGGCCCACATAATTTACGTCCCACATAATTTACGTCCCAAGACGATTCGTCAATATATATAACTATGTTTATATTTTAGTGAAAGTATAATACAGTGTTAATTAGTTTGAAAAAAAACACAATATTATTAAATAAATAACAAATTTGAGTGTTAAACTTTAAAGTTTAATAGTCGTAAATTTATGGGGAATAATAAATCTATTTCTATTTTATTATATATTATTTTATATTCTAGATCCTGGTCCTGGTTGGAATTTAGAGTATTGCAGCTGTAGCCTGTATACCATACATTCAACATGAAAAGGACTGTCAGGTTTGTTAAATTGAAATTTATTCTTATTAATTTATATATTTGAATTTCTTTAAAATACAATGATTATGTATAAATTTTTCAACTAGATTCTACTGGATATTTGTCTTGTCTTAAAAAATATGATTTTCGGAATATTCATGTAACATTATTTATATAAAATTTACATGTTTGTTGATTTCAGGATGCTGCATAAAATGGTCTTAGCTAGAGCCTAGAATGTTAATTTCTTGGGAATATGCTGACCAATCATAGGTGAGACTTTTAAATAGCTTCTTTTTAAAAAGATTTTGTTGTCTTATATACAGTATTTGCTGTCAACATGAAACTTAGCTATGTTTCAATTTCTATGCTGTTTTATGATGTAAATCTTAGAGAAAAGCATTTTAAGATAAAAACAAATCACTAAGTTGAGTAATTATATGTAGAATTTGAGATTGACCAAGTCACTTTTAACTACAAACTTCTTATTTTTATTTGCAGAAGCATTTAGAGACAGCCTAAGAAGTACTCATGCAAACACTTGACATACCCAGAAAGATCTAGAAGAAAAGATTGGAACATATTGTAGTTTTAAAGTGAATTTAAGCTGCACTTCATCTGTATTTTTGAAATAAAATATCTGAAGTATTTAATATTGTCTTGATATTTTGTTAAACTTGGTTACTTTGCTTTATATCCAAAAATTAAAGTATGGTGGGTTTTCAACGTTGAAATGACATTGAAACTTCAACGTTGTGCAAACGTTGAAGCTGCAACGTTGTATCAACGTTGAAATTTCAACGTTGTTTCAACTTTCAAATCCGAATATAAATCCAACCTTATTTCAACGTTGAAATCTGACCATAATTCAACGTTGAAACAACGTTGATGTGCCTGCTGGGAAGATACTATCTTCTGATCGTATATAGTACAAGTCTTCATAATTATGTCTTTTATTTATGTGTATGGTAGTCTTTGCCAATTTTGTTTGTTTGTAAATGGCCAAAGGGAAATGTATTACGGATTGCCCATCAATTGAAACTTGAAACTAATTTCAGTGTCGCCTCTCTGTAGGAGAGTCCACACTCCCAGTATATTCTATGTTTGAAGATGAGGTTAAAGTTACGAACTCTGTCAAAACAGGAGAAACCTGTGGTATACAAAACCAGCTGTTTATATGATCTTTTTAAAGATCCTCACAATGGACGATATTTACATGAGAAGAACGTCCGAACATAGTCCATAGTCTAGGCCTGTAGCATGAGAAAACCGAGTTGTTAGGTGTGGCCTGAGATAACTGTGTTGACTAGGCGAGTAAGATGACGCTAGTCATATATAGTGTAATAATAAGTCAATAATAACCGAAATGCTAGGCGTGTAGCTAGAATAAGGAATTGATTGGTCTATAGTAGGAGATAACTGAGTTACTTAGCACGTACCGTGAGATAACTAATATGCTAAGTTTGTTGACAGTATTTGAGTTGCTAGAATGCGTGAGTCGTATTATCAAGGTAAAGGTCTGCAATATGAGGCCATGTGGGATCCCAGTTGTTAAACATAATAATGATAATTTCTTTCAATTAACAAAAAAGAAAAGAAAAGAAATATGTTTATAATAAATGTTGCGAGTCATAATAATGTTTTTAATAATTTATTTTTCTCTTCATTTTACCTTGGGTCATCAAGGTAAATGCCAATATAAAAAGCAGCACAGAAAGCAACTGTTTTGACCTCTTGATGGTCCCTCTTCTCATACTGTTTATCTGTTCTTGTCATAGAAAAGACAGTCTTGCAAACAACCTCCCTGAAAATAAATGAAAACAGCCATGTGAAATACTGATGTGTCGATGAAATACAAATAACTTTGCTGAGGGAATATGCATGTTAAGGGACATATATCTATGTGTGTGTAAAGGGAAATCTATGCATGCACGTGTGCCTTTTATACTCGTGTTAAGGGAAATATATGCAAGCTCGTGGGACATCTAAACTCAGAAGAAAAATAATTTGTGAAGAGTTTGGAACAAACAGTATTTGTTGACTAATTGATTTTGCTAAGGATGTGAACTGAAATGAAGATGGTACATGTGGACTATTTATATGAGCTCAAGTTACTAGTATATTAATATCCATTCCAATTTGATCATGGGAAATCGATAAATAATTGTATTTCTAGTAGCAAATGTATCTATTTCAAAATGTCGGACTATGTGTTGTATTTGTCATTATAAAATATAACATTTTATAGAATATGAATAAACATGGTCCTATAAACAATTCATCATTTTAATTGTGATCACGATTTGTATGACTCGTTAAAGAAGTACAGAATTTCATCTACACCATTTTTCTTTTCTTTCCATTCCTGCCTTTTCTTGAATCATTATTATGTTTTCTTGTCATGTTATTGGCAATCTAATCTTATTGACATTCTATTGGCTTATTATTTTGTTTTTACAGTTTTTATTGTTAATCAATTTTCTTTTGTATATTTTATAGCAAATCTAATTGTTTGCCTATTGTCAAATGACAAAAAACATCTTACTAGATTCAGTGTGGATATAGAAAAAAAATAAAAAGTGACTATAAAAATATAACATAAAATTTTGCCACGTATTTATAAATGCAGACAATGTCGTCGCTCGCGGAATTTTTTTAACTCATCAGAGATTTAAATATTCTATACTAAATTTGCTAATAAATCTAGAAAAAAAAATTGTCTACATTCATAATTTTGTTTCTAATTTTTACAGTAATGATCAATTTTAATTTTAACCATATGCAGCAAAAGTCATTTAGGTTTTTTAAATGAAGATATAAATAATGGATCAAATTTTCCCCATTTCTCTAATAAATTTAAGTCTAAAGTAGTTGCCATCATATATCACAATAAAAATTGGGATAATTTATGCAAGTTTAAGTACAAGCAACTTAATAACAATCAATAATAAAACACTTTCGCTTTTCAATGCTAGCCTTTAATAATAATTACAAAGCAAACAGGTATTCACATTTCTTATAAATGAACAACAAACACAATTTATTATAATGAACAACAAAAAATCAAAAGATGTTGATCTGAAAATGTAAAGAAATGGTATAACGAGAGGAAGAACATATTACAGTAAATCATTGTCAAAATTTAGATGGTTCACCAAGAAACTAGTCATACATAAAGATCTATCTAGAAATACATATAATTATACATTAAACTAAAGACTGATTTAAGTACAAATAAGTTGGTAAATCAAAATGTATTATTTGGCGATTATTTTATGTCTGCCAGAGTCAAACTGGATAAAATAAATTTTTCAATATGATGTAACAAGATGGTTACCTCCTCCTTTTTAAATCATAGACAAAACAAACAATGCTCTTCGTTTCAAATAACGTGCTTGTGCGCTTAACCATTCACTAATTACTGGTCATTTACATTAACCAATGTTGAATTATACTGTCGGTAATATTTACATTGAACAACAAGTAATTATTCTAGCTGATTTGATACGAAAAATAATAGCAAAGTATAAAAGCACAAGAAGATTTGTATCTTAATCATATTGAACATTTGTAAAATTGACATTTGCAGCATTGCTAATTATTTATTTACATTGCCTTTCATTCTATCACTCAAAGCAAATAAAAATGCCTTCACTATGAGAGGCCAGCATTCCGTCTTGACTTTACAAAATTATACACGCTGATTTTAAAAAACGACAAAACTCAATCGATTTTCAAAACCGTAGGATATCTCCACATGGTAACAAATTCTTGTGTTTTTAATTCCTCCTCATTTAGTGTTGACAGTGACGTAGCTGCGAGAAAGGAGAAAATAAATCTTTATAAAGACAGCCGTTTAGAAGTGTTAGTAGTTTCGTCAAGAAGATTGAACACTCTCATTTAAAAAATGATGCCGATGAAGGCTGTTGTTACGCCATTATTAAGCGAGATCCTTATCGTCAACAATTATATTGATGAATTGATTCCACTGTTCAGGTATAGAAAATTGTGGTTCTATACATTTTTATACGATTTCATAATTTTCTCAGAAAACGCGATTTAATTAAGTTTCTCTAAAGACACGAAAAAAAACATATCAATAGAATGATATTTTTGACACCCGCAATATCAAACCCTTTGATGTTCGCTAAATAAGTTTATCCATTTCATTCACATATCATATACATGATGTAGTATCACTTACTTTGACTTAATTTTCCAATTAATCATATACTAGGTCTTATTTTCCAGTACCGTCCATGAACAGGCTCAATCAAACCGAGCCTGCAACATTTTCAATTTTGACATGTTGGGCTTTCTTTAGGGATTCTGTTTTCTCTATTTTAAAGCTTCGCGTGTTATGCCAAGATTCAAAGTGTTAAGATTCTTATAGAAGGGAAGAAAATATGATTTTCTACAGAAACTCATAATGACTGAATTTAGTATCAAAAGTATATGTAATAGAACACCGACTTGACATTTAAAGTCAAATTTCTTTCTTTTCAATTTGTAACTTTAGAGAATTGTGAGAATAAACGCAAAATAGTGTCGAAGAAAACCTTTCAAATTTAATTGACAGGTTTTTTTCAAACTAAAACAAAAAGTTTGTAAAAATCAGTTAACAATTTCTTATGTTACTTTTTCTAAGGAGAGTTCTAGAAATGCAGCTTTATTCACCTTAAGAGACATTTTGCATTAAACGTATTTCATTGTTCTCATATTATACAATTGATATTTTTGTCGTGTTTTTTTTCAATAATGAAACAGTAACAATATCTTATGTTACCGTTTTTTAAAGACAGTTCACAATATACCAGACTGTCCAATCAATATGTTTTTCATTGTAAGTCCTGATTTATAAAGGTTCGACGACAGTCGAGCAAATTTTGTTTTTTACGACAATTGCAGAGAAGCAATTAATTATTAAAGGAATACAAATAATAACTGTTTAGACCAGAAGATATCCGTGTTCGGATTTTACAGTTGTGTTCTTACAAAACCATAACTGTCACTTATTTCAGTGCAACATAATGAGAATGTGTCTCTTTCGGGAAATGACAACAATATTTCACCATTAATGTCTAAAACTATTAATCAAAGTTTCAAAGCAACACATTCTTACAGCATTCTAAGCATTTAGGTCAACTATCTTATTTTGTTTTAACTTGATTTTTGTTTATAACAATGCTTTTCATCAAAACCAACACAAAAATTATATCAGTTTCATGATAATTGAATGCTGGGTTATGGCATACGTACATCAGACAATAAGAAAGAGACTTTTTGACATGATGTGTCTTACTCTGCAATTCCTGTTTGTATTTTTACAGCTATTTAATATAATGATATTAATTTTAAATAATAAACAAATTAATGCTTATGCTTGATAACCCTTAACTAAGTTAAAATGTTACACTTTCTTTACATGTTGGCACCGGCACATGAGATAGAAAGAAGTTGTTTATGAATTGAAAAAAGACAACGAGTGTGTTATTAACACACTATATTCATTTATAGAAAAGGACTTTAGCATGCTCAGGCAGAAGACATAAAGCAAGTACATTTTTTTTTCAAAAATAAAAGATGCTAAGTTTGTAACAATGAATTCCGTTGTAAGTATGTTTTTATATATTAAAGTACAATAAGCATGCATATGAAATATTCATACAAGGGTTGCATTGTTTTGACAAGACAAGTGTAAAAGAAACAAAAATAAAAATAATTTATATTTGCCCTTGTATTACTTGAACAATTAATAAGTTATAATAAGAAAAAAGTCAGGGGCGGTCATTGATATTTAAAGGTTTTAATGCTAAATTAAAAAACTATTTTTTGAATATTGATCACAAAATTCAATTTTGATATTGATTATGGAATTATTAATTTTTTTATAAAAAAAGTTTTTACATGTAATAACATTTTCCCGTTTGACCCTTTTAAAGGTTTTTGGAAAACCCCCAAAATAATGTTTAGCTAAAAACGAAACAGTACATGTTAGCTTTTTTAGCCTTTTAATTTTAAAAAGTCAATTTTTCTTTTTGGGGTACCCAAAAATTTAACATACAAAATATCAACGCATGCGAAAAAGAGACTATTAATTTTTAAACCAAAAATAAAGTTTGGGAATTTAACCCTTTAGTACGAAAATTTTGAGTTAAAAAAGCACCTGAATTCTCAAAAATTGTACTAATTCTTGTATCAAAACCTAACATTGATATAGCATTATTAAATATAAAAAAATTGTTTTCAAAATGTTTTGTTTCATACTCTTGTTGTAAATTACTAATTGTTGCACATAACTGGACTATCAAAATTTTAAAACTGTCTCTTTTGCAAGACATTTTTATAAACATATCTGATATATTTTAGACAAACAAGATTTATTTTTATTTGGTTATCATCAATTTTAATCAAAATCAATTCTAGAACATGTTTGGCTTATTAAACCGTAGAGAAATAATTATACTACCGCACTTGACTTATACGGATAAACAAACAATTATAAAAAATCTGGAAACAAAGTGCTCCCTCGGAAGCATTAATCACAACAAAGTTACAAGAGAATTGCAGACTCGGTTTGATTGAGTCTGTACATGAGGGATAATGAATACGCGCAACATCCCTCACGCCCCCTAGCACCGGCTTTCAATTTTACCTGTTACTTGTAGTTCTTTAAAAAGTGAATGTTTTAATAAGGCTAAAAAGTAACATTTTAGAGTCAATGCATAAAAATATGACACTACAAGGCGAAGATAAAACCCTATCAGGAAGTATAAGACCTTGCATAAATGTGTTTCTTCTTTA